ACACGACGAGTTACCGTAGATACTGAGCCTGTATGCGGCGCTCTGCGACCCCTGTTGACTGCAGGACCAGTTCGGCAATTGCTGCATTAACGTGAGCAGCTCTTGTTTCTCTACCGGGCATTGCGAGAGGGCAGCAGGGAGGGATAGTCGGTAACAGCAGTAAGGCCGCGGACTTCTGCTGAGGTGTCCGCTCGGGCGGGGCTCGGGACGCCTGCCCGATTTGCACGGAGCACGGGCCTTACATTCTCGCAGAAATTGCAGAAGTGCCCTCCGGAGCGACCCACCTTAGGATTCGGAGTGGTCCACACGTAGCCCGACGATGTCCCGGGCGGCTGCTGTCTCCGCAGTTGTCGGCAGTAGGCTGTCAGTGTTGTCCGGCGGTACCCAGCCTCGACCATAGGGTCCAGAGCAGCCACGTATTCGACCTCGGCGGGACCGGCTGCAGCCGCGCAACCTCGGAAGCGGCTGCGGCCGGGGATGCAGCGTGCGACACAGCTGTCCGGACGTGGATAGTCTGAGCTCGTGGTGTAGAAGAGGTTCCCGCTTACCTCCGCTTCGGTCCGACTCTCTGGTGGGGGCCCGTAATTAGTGGAGAGCTACCTGTACGGTCAGTCCGACTCTCCTTACCGTTGGTCGTTGGCTACGAGCCGGCCTTTCCTGCCTCGAGCTCGTGCCGATGAAGGCGGCAGCGCGCTGTGACGACCCGCGACGTCAGCCATGGAAACCAGAAACCCTCTCTCCTCAAGGACCGGAGAGCCTGCTGAAGTCGACAGGCGCCGGCGCCGCGTGGCCGGCAGGCGGATATCGCGTAGCTGCCAGCACGCGCGCGACCTCGGGCAACGAAGCGATCCCCGAAGGAGCTGGACCGTCGCGCGTCCCACCCGGCAAAATGGTAAGGACGTGGCCAAGGTACCATATGTCACTCTTCGAGTCAGGCCCGGTACATGCGAGAGGATGCTCAGCAGACGAGTCTGGAGCCGGAGAACGGCAATTGAAGGGCAGCCTGCTGCACCGTCCCCGGGTCCTGTCCGCATTTCGGACTTGTGCCCGAACTGGTGCGGTCAGGTCGGGGACAGGACAGTTAGCCTGCTCCAGTTTGTTGCCGCCGACGCACCCCGGGTTCACGGGGGTGCCCTGCGGGTCCGAGTCAGCGGGTCACTGCAGAACAGGAGTTCGCGAGTGCCAGGGAGGGCCGGCGCGGGGCGTGCGTGACTTGTCATGGGACTCAGAGGCAAGACATGCGCGTCTCTTGTTATTGGCCAATACTTTCCAACCGATGTGAGTCCTCTTACGCGAGGCAGCTGTAAGCATGATCGAGACGGGTAGCCCGGTGATGGTACGTACCTCTCCGGTGGATAGCTCTACGTGCACCTGGCCTGGGGCCGTCGATGCGAGTCGCGTACGGTTGTGGCGCCGATGCCACGGTATGATGTGTACCCGTCGCCGTCCCCAAGTGCCTACTGGAGGACGCGCCCTGCGTTCGGAACCCCAAGTAAACTTTAGTCGCACGGTATGTGCCGCGCCGGCAGCGCCTGTCTATGGGGTTTGTTTACCAGTTACGGTTAAGCATTTGTACTGCCATGCAGTGAGCCTTCTGTGCTGACAGAGGGGGGCGCTCCTGCTATCCTGGAAAGGGGGTGTAGTTGTTTCAAGACGGTTGCACTCTGGAAGCGGTGACTCAGGGGCAAGGTGGAACGTGGCGGCGCAGGGCTTCCCGTGGATCCTTCTGCCGGCCATGCGGAACCTTGCCGATGGTGTCACAGTGTGGTCGGTATAGTCCACGTCCTTACCACACTCGCATACCGCATTATATGCGCATGTCTCTGCTTTACCCCGCACTCTGGCAGCGAATGCGCGGAATGTCTCGTCGCGTTCCTGGCGTAACTGAAGTAGTTTGGTGCGCAGGACGCATGTAGCAACTGGGATGACAGCTAGGGAACGCATGACGGTGATCAGGTCTGGCAAGGGTCCGGAAGCGGCGTCGGGGACGGCTTTCAACAGGCTGTCTCCAAGTACAGGCCCAGCGCACTGAAACAGCTGGAAGGGGGCCTGTGCGTCCCCTATGCCTGAGCCGGCGCGGAATACGTTCCAACGGCGGATGAACACGTTCCATTCCTCTATTGACACGCCCACATCAACTTTGGGCCGATCGAGTCTCGGCCCGTGAGGGGCTGGGGCCTGGGCTGGCGCGGCCATGACAGGCGCTGCGTGCTGGTGGCTACATCCATGAATCGTCAATATAGCAATGACGAGTGCTTCAGACAAGTCATCGGATTTGAAATCACAGCCTGGGACAGGGCATCCAACAACGACCATGGTGTCGTCATGAAGAAACACACTCCTCAATGTCAGTTTCGGTAATTTATTGACAAGGATGACGACACCCTGAAACAGAGTAATGCAGCAAGATAAGCTGACAAAGTATTACATCCATGCAATTTAATCAACACAAATATATACCACGAAACAGAGTATAGTAGTATAATAGTATAATATATATATAGTATAATATATAGTATAATATAATAGTGGAAACAGTCTTACATGAATGAGTGGACGAACGTCTCAACTCGAGGCGGAGTGAATGAACAATGTTTGAACTAAGATGGCCGCTCAGCACTACCGGGTCAGAGCACGGCATAACTGGGCAGCGACAGCAGTGACACTACCCTCTAGTGGCCGGCGATAAACTCTTCAAACAATGTGATAGAATATCTGCTTTAAGCTAGCTAGCTAACCTAGTGATTTGAAGTATACTGACAAAACACTTACAAATTATTATGAAACAGACTAACTTTGCGAACAGTGACAGTTGGCAAACTTTATAATCCCCAAGATCGTTTGCGCCAGTCTGCCACCGTAGAAGCACGGGGAATCAGGCAGGGATGAAATAACAGCACACATCAGGGAAACATTGATGACAAACCGACAGAGAACGCTAGAGAAGACAGGCATATACACAGTACTAATCACCAAGACAATACACAGCTGTGGAGGGGAAGCAAAAACTTAAGGGGCGGCAGGGTGAAAAGAATCAGACAAGCAAACAGGCGGGAAAACCCATCGACAGGAAGTAAAACAAGACAGAACAGGAGATAATACATAAAAAACATCCTGCTTTATTTTTCTGTGGTTTTAAGAGTTCAAATTAAACACTGATTGAATCACTTAACTGTGACTCATTTAGAGGTTCAACAGAATTGTGTGTGATGTGTGTGTGTGTACGGCCACCCTAGTCTTTTGTTTCTGTAAGTGTGTGTGAGTGAGTTCTGCAGCTTTCTGCATGCTTGTGTGGTTTTCAGTGTCTCCCGGGAGGATCCATGAAACGTCCAACACCTGGCCTCTCTAAGCCCTGAAATGTGATCTGTCATGGTGCAAGGGCACAGCAGAGTGTGTGTGTGTGTGTGTGTGATGTACAGTCTGTATTCGATGAGCTGCACGGCGACAGATGGCTCAGGTTAGAGGTGCAGAGAAAGAAGAGAATAACAACGTCAGATTCTGTAAAACCGCTATGTAATTCTATAATAATCCAACACATGATTTTTTGTTGTTTACATGTTGTTGGTTGCTTTTTGATCATATTTTAGTGCTTTGAATATGTGGTAAAGTAACATTGAGGAATCTGTTTGACATCTCAGAAAACGAGTGGGAGAAACCAAAAGAGAAAAAGAAAAACTGAATGTGTCACTTCTCCAGTGACTTCTTTTTTGAGGTTGAAACAAAAGTACAAAGGCGTTCTCATATTTTACACTACAGATATCTTTCCAAAGCAGCCACAACCTTTCCTCATCAGATCATCCAATGATTCTACTTTCCATCACGTACTCCACTTTACCTTCCCATCAACCCCTTGTCTCCAGTAGAGGAAATGCATCTGCATTTTGAAGTCATGCAATCACCTCATTAATATTTTTGTTTACTTTTGTTTTTATTTGTTTTAGATTACAGGGTATAAATACAGAAATGAAATGGAGTTAAAACTAAGCTGCATAAAAAAACTAAATATCAATCCTCATATAAACATTTTTTAGAAATAAAAAGAACATAATATATATATAATTAATCCTCATAATTACATGTATTGTTATATCTAACCGGAGGGAAATGTTTGTGTTGTTTACCTCACACATTTTGCCCGTCATTTGTTAAAGATATGAATTAGATTTTTGTTGTCATGGCTTTTTCAAATTCATTTCTAAGATCCTTTAATTTTGTGTTTATTAACCTGTTAAGCCCTGAGCCTGTTTTTCAGGTCTCAGGCTCGAAAATGACGTTTCCAGAACAAATGACCATATCTTCCCTTCTAAAAGGTTTACATTACTAATCTTTTTTCTCAAAGTAATGATAAACCTGTGAGTTGGATGTAGAAGAGTCAGAATCAATATAGATGTTTTTTATTTTAAAGAAAATTCAGATTGAACATAGTAAAAAACTGTAAATTATAGTGTCCGTCCAATTTATTTTACTTATAGTGAAAACTACCCTTGGATGATGGTAAGGTAGACTAAAAGCTTTAGGAATCCAAAGTACAACATATAATAAGTACCCTGTATCAAGATTGATGCAAAACAAGTGACATGTGACCATTTTAGAGAGGTTTAGCAAAAAAAACTCCACCTCTGAGGTGATTTGGGTGGAAATGGGCGTTTTTGCCGTTTCTCTGGAACCCATTGTTCGATTTTGGTGATTGACATCTCTTTTTGACCGTTAGAGCCAATAGAATAGAAGGGGAATTTCCATATACACACACATGGTAAAAAAAAAGAAGGTGGGGGCTTTGCGCCCGCAGGTTTGCATCAGAGTGAACCTATCTCTCGCTCTGATATCTGGAAACGGAAAAGCAGGTTTATTGCTTCTGGATTATCAGAAATCATTTCAAAGGGACACAGACACATTGGATTAACCTATGGATTAACTTCAGCAGCGTTTTTATCGTTTTAATGCCATTGAAGACCACTTTTGACCAGACAACGACCAAGGTGAGCCATGTTGCCGTTTTTAGCTACCTAGCGCCACATGTTTTGATGACTGTTCTTGTTAATATCTTTCCGAGTTCTTATCATGGAGTGATAATGTATGTACCGATCGATTCTGTGTCATCTCACGATCAGATCGATGGGTTGGACGTGCAGCTACGATAAGTAATAAGGGTGTTATCAGTGAGTTTCTGTGCAAAACGCCGTTAGCATTTTTCGCTCGTGGCTAATAGGCTCAGCGCTAGCTTTGTGTTTTTTTTTGAAGAAGAAAAAAGAAAAAAAGATCCGTTAGCTGAGTTTCTTCCCGTTAAATGGATATAAAACATTCATAGATAATAGAAAAAAGCAACAATCACGCGAACGCTGTTTCCCCTGCAGAAATGACGGCCCGTTTATTCCCCCCCGGTAGTCCCGGGGGGCGGATGTAAGCAAGAGGTTAACACACAAAGTATATACTCCTTCCTTTAGTAAAACAAACATGACAACTATAACGGCCTGTATAATTGTGTCTAATAACGCAAAATTAGCTATATAGATCTAAGAACATGACTATACACAACTAATAATTTAAAGTGAAGCTCTTGTTCATAACCAATAGCCTTACGAGTGTATCGAACTCTAATTAGGATCCTTTTCGTAAAAATCAATAAAGCAAATTATGACAGGGCTCGAACGCCAAGGCAAGGGGGGAAACCCCATCGGCCGGGTAACTCGTAGAGAACTAGGGAACAGGCTACCCTGAAATACCCACAGGACAGCGGTCTGCCCGCTCAGCCGCATACGGTCGCCAGCGCGCATGACGAACCTCCACCCTGCCCGTCATAACCCCACCCAGGCGCGTTCAAAAAAGTTGCGAAGCCGGAGCGGTCGTGGTGTGCGCCTCGCGGTTGTCTGTTGATTTTGGAATATTTCCCTGGACATTTTAATTCTACGGCGACCCAACAGTAGTTTAAATGGTTCTATGTTTGTGTCTGTTTAAATCCGTGTTTATTCGTTGTTATGTCTCCTATTTTGTGTCGTGTAGAATCACAGAACAGTTATTAATCAATTGTAATGATTCCAGTACGAAACGACTATGAAAGTCCAAGGATGTGTTGCTGTATTTTGAAGTGGTAAAAAACTATGCCCATGTCAACATCATCAATT